CCGCGAGCGCTTCGGCGAAAGGGAACTCGTTCCAATCGGGCATTCGGATGAATCGCGGGATAACCAAATTAATTACGTTGTATAATTGCGACGGGTAACGTCGGTAATAAACGAGTCGATGATCGATCACGGGCCGTTCCAGTTCTCTTGACACGAATACGGTCACGTGCGCTCTCTTGTCCCGTTTACCAATCGGAGAAAATTCATCGTTGCGAGGCGTCCTTCTCGAGTCGGCGCCACGCCGAACGTACAAAGTGCTGGTTCATGAAAAGGATGTTTAGTCCGGTGAAGAACGCGTCTCCCAGCGAAATGGGCCACTGTTTACGAAACCATGATTCTTCTGGTCCCGCGAGAGTTGTAAAAGTAGTTCGCGGACTCGTAACGGGCCGATTCTTTCCTCGTTGAAACGCGTTGCTCAGTACACATACACAGTCCGTGCCGCGATTTCAAACAAGAAAACAGTGGTCACTAAAATATTGAAGATGCGAGGTCTTCGCGTGCGTTAAGGATATTTTGAAAAATGAAACGGTCCAGAGAAGCGACGGTGAACTTTATTTTCGACGCTTCAGTTTCGTCGAGCGGAAAACAATTTCCAATCGTTTCCCTCTTTCGACTGGTTTAATCGAGCTCGTCGCACGAAACGCGTGGCTACGATAGCGCTAGAAATATTGCGTTTCAACCGAGCTGTTCGATCCTCGATTTGATCGATGCGAATCCAAGATTTACGATTTCGAAATAAATTTGTAAGGAAGCCGAACGTTCGATGTTTTAAAGGGGGTGAATTGTAAACGAGGAGCCAGAAGTCGACGAGCGCGATGTCCGCGTACGTCCTGGAACCATGCGACACGCTCGAATTAACGTTTGTACAGATGGCTTCCTTTCTCTCCGCGCGATCCTCGTTCCTCTCCGTTTACCGCGGAAATGCGAGTTTAAAGAGTGCATTCGTCCCATCGAGTTGACTATAAATAGGCGGCCGGCGGACGTTTCACCGATAACGCCACCTCTCGATGTCTCTGTCGCGTCGTTCGCGAGACCCATGCTACCACCTAATACGCTCGTCGTTTTCGAATAAATCGTTGAGAAAATGGTAAAGGAAGGAAGGTACGGGACGTTAGTCCCGGACGCGGGAGGAAATTGAATCAGTGCTCGCTTAAAAATACATACGTAGTAGGCAGCGGAGTATCAATCGTCCCGATTTAAACGCTTTTTATTTTATCGCTCTATCCTCGAATACGTCTCGAGCAACGTCGTCCAAGTTCATACTGTTACTGTTCGATCTTGACCGAGCACGAGCGCCTCTTTAATTCCGATTTTTCTCGGAACTCCGAGGCCTCGCCTCGATTCTTCGATCGGAATGACCCCAGGGCTGTCGATACTGGTTCCTGTGTCCGATAAGGGTAACGAAGACCCGTACTTTTGTCGTGCGAAGAGAATGCCACTCTCTCTCTCTCTCTCTCTCTCTCTCTCTCGTTTTCTTCTTACTCTCATTCCCCCGATCCATTCTTTCTTCGCTGCCTATTTCCTTTTCCTCTCTTCTCGTCTTTTGCCTACTCTCTTTTTCTCTGTCCGGGTCTCTCTATCATGTGCCTCCTAGAATCGATACGGTACCGAGTCCGAAACGGGGTTGGAGACTCGATGGTACGACAGGGTTTTGGTAACGATCTCGTCTCGCGATATACCTACCAGGATATTCGCAAGCTCCTTATCCAATGTGTTCGCCGTTGCGATTCGATTTCTAACCAATGTTCGCGCGTCGTTCTACCTCGAAACAAAAGTCGGGAAAGTCGCGATCGATTTTGGAGGCGTCGACGGTTTCTTATTTAGCCGGAAGAACCTCGGATGGAAACGAAACGTGAAACGTGGAACGACGAGCCGCGCGGTAGGGATGGAAATCGTTCTCGGGCACGCATATTCTCGTCACGATGTGCACCGGCTGGCACGGCGCGCCAGACACAACCCGTACTTTACTACTTACGGATCTATCCCTCCTTCTTTGCTTCTCGTTACCCTCCCCCGACACGCGTTTAACCCACTTACGATCATCGCGGAATACCAAATAAGCGAGTAATAATATGCATAGAAAAAATAGCAATTGAAACGTGCTCGTTCGTCCGATGGAATTTGTTAACTCGGCTGACTTTTTCCCTTAATACTTTAATCGCTGGTCATTGTGCGCGGCATTGTCTGCAACGTACAATTTCGAAGCAAACCGAGGCTTTGCTCTTATTTCGGCTTAATCTCGTTCCTCGGGCAAGAACAATGTCCGCCCGAGCCGCTGGAGAGCGAAATATGAGAAACGACGGATAAGATTTTCGAGTTCTCACAGCAATTACGGTCGATTGCTGTCTTTGGGACAAGTCCGTCGACGAGTTTCGTTAAATATCCGCGATTCTAACGAGAGCGGAACATTTTTTTCGCTCCGTTCCTTTGCGAACGATAACGGCGTTACTACAAGCTCCGCGGGATTAAGTTGTTACCTGAAACGTAATTGCGAAAAGTTCTCGCGATTGCTACTGTTATTGCAACCGATTTTCCCGACCCAAGCCCGTGGAAAATTGAACATCTCTAAATTATCCCCTCTTGATTTTTTTCTTCTTCAACGAGTATTATCTACGTTCGATGCAATTATCTCGAATACTTTCTTCTCGAGAAGTTCGCCTATCGCGCTTCTTTTTTTTTTCAACCGGGAAATATATTCCAGCGTTCGTCGCGTCGCGAGGAAACGCTGCCTGAAAGTTGTACGAGATGAAACACGATATTCCCCTTTTATGGGAGCCTGTAGTAGTCTCGAGGTTTACGTCGAACAATGTAATCCTGCATCGTGTTTCTTGGATGAATAACCTGTCTCGAGAGCACGGCTGGTTTTCTTCCTCGGAAAATCGGGTTAGCGGAGTGTATCTAGTAACTTATCCATTTTTCGTCGCGAAATATTCGACGCGCGTTCCAATGGCTCGGCTTTCGCACTCGTTTTCACGCTTCGGATACGTTCCTTCTCAACCTTATTTCCCCTTTCTTACTTTTCTCTTGGCCGAGCCGAAGGAGAAGCGCGCTGGTCGCGAAATTTATGGCAACGACGAATTTATAGCTTCAATTTCCGCGATATTTAAACCAGTCGTGTCCGAGCGAAACCCGGCCCGGGTTAATCGTTCCAACGACGTTCTTCGAACTCGTTCTTCGAGCCTTTGCAAATTATCCGTCGTACGAAGATTATGAAATAACGAAAAGACAAAGAGCGACGTTCGTTGATCGTTGCAACGCGCCTTGAAATTACATCGTACGTAAACGGACAGTTCGGCCGGCGAGTGTCGTGCCTGATACTGATAGGCCGACTACTAACATCGTAAGGGGACATTGTCGGAGTTAATTAGCGGTTGCGAATATGCAATCCACTCGATTAAACCCAAATTGACAGGACTAAGCGAACCGTGTTATCGCGATAAGGAATTCCATTTTTTACAGTGAATGGGTCGTCGGCGATATTTTTATCTCGTAAGAAAATATTAATTAATTCTCGTCGACTCTGTCCAAAATCGATCTGGAAAATCTTTTATCGCTGGTTCATCGAAATATTTCCGAGGAGAACCGTCGGATACCGCGATTCGAGGCTTTTAACGTCCTCCGGGTACGCCGTTCGAATCAATTAAAGTATACTTCGTTAGCCCGATATCCGCGACGTTATCTCCCGAAGGAGGGCGACGATTCTAACTAAGCGACGCGCACGAGTCGTGCAAATTCAATTTGCGTAATAAAATCGCGCGCGTCCGCCGATGCCTGACGGAAGGGAACCGAGCTGAAGGAGATAGGTTTCAACCGAGGGAGAAGCACTACGAGTATCGTTCCCTGGTTGAGGTTCGCGTTACCCGGACGAGGAAGTCCGAGACCCGGAGAGTGTTTCCTGCGTTTTGTGACTAGCCAGTCTTCGGTACGGTTTTGCTTATTGCTTGAATACTAGCTTTTTCGTCGGTATTAATCGCGGTTGTAACGCGATTATTTAAGATTCGAGTAATTGTAATGCGGTAAACGCGGTCTGCGGTATGGGAACGGTATCTACTTCGCGAGATTAAAGTCGCGGCGTAGACGCGCACCTACTTGCACGCCATTTACATATTGCTTGGTTAGTATCCGAACGTATTATTCGGATCGTATCGATACCCGTGATATTCGAATAGCGTCGATATCCGAATTGAATGAAAAACATCGACAGTGGGCGTGCAATACGAATCTTTGAAATGTTCCATGTACATTTTTTTCACGAATAACAGTGGACGAGGTTTTTCCACGTTCGCGAGCGTTTACCTTGGTCCGGAGCGAAGGAGAAAGGTGCACGCGCGTGATTCATCGTGGGACGATAAGGACCGCGGTCTTTTTGTTTCGTGTCAGCCGGCACATTTACCTTGGGTCGAGACACGCGCGTCCAGAATCTGGCCAGCGATTTGGAGGCCGGCCAGATCGTCTCGATCCTGACCTGCCCTCTTGGCGTTCCGTCGCGTCTCGCGAGTTTCGAGCGAGTCGCGAGAGACTGTGCGGTACAATAATGAAGCATTTTTAACGTGAATACGTTTTCAAGTTCGGTATGGATATTATTATACATAGATAGTATTCCAAAACTCGCGCTGTGTTCACAGGCAAATGGTACTATGGCCGGTATTCTAAGTCGTTGCTTATTCTTAAGATTGTCTTAAGCATTTGCTTAAGTCCCTGTTCCCTATACAAGAAAAGGACTGGAAATATGGGATAGACAGGGATATCAAATTATTAAGACGATCTTAAGAATAAGCAACGACTCTGAATACTGGCCTATGATCATTTTTGCTCTCGGTATATGAATTCAGAATTTTGCGAACAGGGATGATTATTTTATGTTTCTTCCTCTTGTCTGGGAGTCTATACTGTTTATTTGTATTCGTGTTGCGCGCTTGATTGACGGTCAATTGTAATTGTAAGAAATCTACCGTTCTGGACACATGGTCAAATCCGGTCGTGATCGGAGGTCATGTATTTGGAGTTAAGATTAATTATTAGGTAGTTCATTGACGTATCTATATTCTTCTCGAAATTCTCTGATGTGTCATATAATTTCTTTATCTTTCATTGAATGGTACATACATGCAGTTGCGCAAACTTAATATCGACTCACAGTTTACGTTCGCGCTTGTTTCCTCATCGAGCCCACGTCTCTTTGTGTCAGCGCGCACGTGTCCGGTGTACGCCTCGCTGTTAGCATTCTCGGTTTCTTCTTGCGAAAAACTCGCATGAACAATGCTTCCGGAAAAAGTATCTTCGAAGAACGAAACTCGAGGCTCGGTACAATTCGTTTAGAACGTAGCTAGGATGCATAATAAGGATGTACGAAGTAAGCATGGTACTAAACGAAAAACGTCGTCAATCGAAATCTGCATGTTGTCTCCGACAATATACCTAATTCATTGTGAAGACCCAAAGGCTCTCAGCTCGTGAAGTGGTCCACGAGAAAGGGTTCGGAAACGAGAAAAACACGGATTTCCTTGCTAGCGAAAATAAGTACTGTCGCGTATTAACATCGATTTATTATTCTAGTTATCTGGTTTTTGTTGCGAAGTCTGTTGAAATCGAACGAGCCGGTGACGTCGAGAGATACGTCGCATCGTCGGGATACGCGCATTTACTGTGACGTACGAGTACGGCCGGCCTGAAAACCGGTTTCTCTGCTTGTTCGCGTTTAGATTATCAACGAGTACTTAAATTGCAATGATAGAACTCTTTCGGTCAGGCATAAGATCTACGCCGGAGAACAGCAGGGGACATTCGGAATGTACGATGACACAAGAATTTGCAACGATCAGATCTGAGATTTTCATGGGAACAGCTTGCAAAATGCATCTTGGTGTTCGGTCGGGGGGTAAACCGGAGTCTATCATTCTTAAACACGGATGCACTCGCACAATCACACTGTGTTGTGCGTGTGCGTGCACCCGTTTTCGTAGTACGCACCACGGCCACGTTCGCATAGGGGTGCGCTCGCTTCTCCCCTCAGGTGTCCCAACCTAACCTACCCCTACTTCGGTTGGTATCCCTCGGTTCGGCCAATCTGTGCCCCCCTCGTCCATCCCTTCCACGATCCAGGCTTCTCCCACGCCGTCGGGATCGAGGAGGCGAGCGTACAGCTGCCACACTGTGAACTGTGAAGTGCGAGAACTGGAGAGACGCGCACCGACGCCGCCGCCGTTTGCCGTCTAACCGGCCGTTTCGTTAACCTACAATTCTAAACAGAGCGAGAAAGGAACACGAGGGTGAACTGCAAGAGGAGGAGGTTCGCTGTGAGACGAACAGAGTGGTCGTTCGCGTGCGAATATCGTGTGTGGTGTCCAAGTCGTAAGCCGGTCCTGCTGTCATCAAACGGCGTCCCGTTTCCTTTCTACAACAGCGGGCCCTTTGTTCGAAACGGTTTGCCAGGGATCGGCACGAGGTACCACGCTCGTTCAGTCGCCGTGTTCGTCCTCTTTGTTCCCGGTTTCGTTCTCAGCTCCGTTCGCGGGGTCGTTGTGGCCTTGAACTTGTGTGCCTACGTGTATGTACATCGCGTCGAGTGACAGTGTGTGGTTCGTTTAACCTGTGCGACGTCGCGAAGGTGAGAGACGCGAACAGCGTGGAGGAGAGAAAGCACAGGAGATTCAGGGTCCAGGGAGCGGCGATCCTGGAAACCGTGTCCGACCATGTTCCCGTACACGACCTTCCCGGCAGTAGGGTAAGCAACCGGTCCCCCTCGTTCATCCTCGCGGATTCGTTCGAGTTAGGTACCCACCCGTTTACGTTTATCTACGTTTTCCTTTCGAAAAATCTCGCTTGCCTTTGTGTCTGTGTACGTAACTTAGCTGCGAATGTTTCTCTCTCCTGCATCTTGTTGCTCTCGTTTGTTTTTCGTGGTGCCTCGACTGTCATGCTCGCTTCGGACCGCTTGATAACGAGCTTCTACTCGCGTGTGTCCGTACAGCGCCGGGTACGCGCGTGTACGTGCGTGTGGATACACGCTGGATGTGTACTATTTGATCTTGCGCCCGATGGGCGCCCATGCTTTATTTCGCGTAGAGAGAACCGGCCGGAGAGGAAAAAACGCGTGCAACTGGCTGAGCGACGTAGTATGTGCACACCCGTGTGTACGCGTGTTCGTTTCGCGTATTCCGAGGAGGGAGAAAGAGACAGGATTCCCTGCGCGTCTATCGTGCGGTGTGCACGGTAAAAGGAGAATTCAAGAGAGATAGAGAGAGAGAGAGAGAGAGAGAGAGGGGGGGAGAGGTATGCATGCACTCTCTCCTTTGGGGGGTACGCCCGAACTTGGAGCTCGACGCTTTGTCCTTTCCCCCTTTGTCTCCGTCTCGCTTCCCCCTCCATCTCTCTCTCTCTCTCTCTCTCTCTCTCTCTCTCTCTCAATGTGTATACACTGCGTGCAAACGTGTAGATACGCGCGCGCGTGTATCTACCTACGAACGAGGAGCCCTTGCCGACTGGTTTCAGAGAAATCAATCGCGTGCGAACGAGAATGGCTGCGAGAGACCGAGGGAGTCGAAAGTTGACAGAAAAGTTCACGCGACGTGGAGAAACGAAGGGAAAAGAACGTAGGTCGGATCGCCGGTTGAATTTTGCGAATCCGGAAGCTCACCCGGTCGTCCTGACAACGTAACACCGTGCCGTTGGCAAAGTGGAAAGGAAGGGTTGCCGCGGGACATAATATCGAATTGGTGCGGAAATAATTGCATCAGTTGTTTACGCGTGTATCGTAGTAAGAGCATCGGTGGTAGTAATTATATTTTTGCAGCGACATAATGGAACAGGGCTTTCCGTTGCTCTGTGTTGAGAGAGCGAATTTGCAGTGGCAACATTATTGGGTCCGTGGGAGGTTTAAACTCGGTCGTAGCGACGAAAAAACAGTCGGTCGCGTTGCCCAACCGGTAAGGCTGGCTGGGTTTCCTTTCGCGGCTTATGCGCGCCTCGAGACGAATTTACGCCTCGCGAGTCGAGACAGATCGGTAATTAAACCTTCTCGTTTCCTAACGAAATTGCTAAATAACACAGATTTCTACGGCCTTCCAAGATTTATTTTACGACGCGACCTCCTCGTCGGACGACAGACCGCGAAAGGATGTTTATCGTTACTTTTGTCGCGTGAGCCAAGTGTGCGCGTTACGCGTTTTTAAACGGCGCGTACATTTTATCGGAAAAACGAATGCTTGCCTTAAGCTGTGCCTCGTCATTTAAATCACGGGACCTGTGTGTAAGTACGTATCGCGAACTGTAAGCCTGAAGCGAACGCTTACTTCCGTGGCCACCTCGGGGCTATCGCCTCTTCGCGATTTCTGACAATCTTTTAACGTCGACGAGATTTCTCGAGACACAGTACTCGATTCGGATATTCTACATCCGCGCTCGTTCAAAGAGCAGACTGTGTCACTGCCTTTATATTTGTATACTCTCACCACCAATTGCATAAAACAGTCGAGCTTTGTTCGTTTATCGTCCTCGTGCATCCGATAGTATTCCTTGTCGCAGAACTTGCACGCAATTTGCACGGCGATCTAAAAATAACCGATTTTTTAAAACGTTCGCCCGTGGGGTAGTTTTTAATTTTCGCGAAGAAGGGAGAAAAGATTACGCGCGCTCCATGCTCGGTTAAAGTTTTAATTGAAACGCGAGCCTCGCTATTTTCTCCTATTGTACCCAACGGGTCGCAATCAGTTGTACGACGCGAAAGAAGGACGCCCGTACCCGCGTGCCACGCATTGAATTTAATTATCGAAATTTTCATCGTCGATGTAAAAGCACCGACAAAACAATATCTCGTCGGATGGACACAGTAAACAACGGCTATTTGTTGGCCGTGCGAGAGGCAAGGGGCGAAATTCATAGATGAGTTTTCCTCTATTTCGCCACATCCGCGCAAATGTTCCGGCGAATGAAAAAAATAATTTGGACGAGAGGCAGGACATGGTAATATGTAAAGAGTCCCGAAGATCGAGCGACGGGCAATTTTTCACTTTTCGGTCTGGCCAATCCGTAGACTGCAGACGCAATTTTTTGGCACAAGGCCCGCGATAAACGTGGACCGAGCGAGCGCGCTTGGTCCTCGGCGCGGTAGAAAACGTTGCTCGTAATTAGTTTGGGCGATAGGTCGGTTACTAAGGAGCGCCCAATTGGTTTTGCCAGAAGGGAGGGAACGGATCGAAGCGAGACCGAGAGAGGACGAATATAAAACCGATCGAAATCGCGTGTTCTCTTCGAGCAACGAATGCGCGTATCGACAATAACCAGTTACGATTCACAAATATTGCGTCAATAAATGTTCGTCGTGACACGATCGCGTCGGATGCTTTTAGAGCTGTCGGCTGGTCATCGCCGTCGCGTCCGCGGCTGCTCGATTATTATTTGTCTCGATGGAGAATCGCGCTCGAGGTGCTTTCGATGTCAACGCTGTTCACTTTCCGTCGCGATTTCCACAACGGTTGGATAAATATCGGAAAATTTTTACCTTTACTTCTGTTCAACCTATATCGCGTATGTCCTCTCTGTCTGGCGCTTCGGGATAGATCCGAGCTGCCGTCGTAATCGATTTATAATTTGGATGCGCTGCTCGCGAAGTGCATGTGTGTGGCTACCGACGAGAGACGAAGAAAAAGAGAAAGGAGCGAGAGAAACGGAACGGTGGTATCCAGTGACAAAGACCTCGGTCGATGCACGTGGTCGTGGCACCAGTACCGGTACCACTATCGGGCTTCTCTCTCTCTCTCTCTCTCTCTCTCTCCTTTGGGGATCTTTTCTGTTCCCGCCCCTGTTCATCCTCTCTCTTTCTCTCTACGTTCGTAATTCTCTTCTGATCTACGACGTCTGCGAGCGAGCTCGACTCGACTCGATTCTACTCGGCACGAGGAACTTCCCTTGGCTCCGCGATACCTATGCGATGCACAGAGCGAATCGATACGCCCCACCATTTGATATTATCCTTTATTTTAGTACGGGACGTTGGAAAATGAATTTTGGTTTGGTAACGATTCGGGATCGTAGGCGATAAGTACAAATATCGAGGCACGTGGACGCGTGGGAGTTCGCTGAACGGGGTAGGCGTTTGTATGCGTATTATCCGAGGAATTATGTTCATCGATCGGGAATCTACCCTTTGACTCGTCGCGTTGACGTTAGCTAAAGAACGACGACCGATTGCATCGTAAACAGTTTAGAGTTTGCAATCTCGACCCGAGAGAAAACGAGAGCCACGCCTCGTAGATTAACTCTCTTTCCTTTTTGTCGTCCGCTCACAATTGGACTTTTCGCAAACTGTCCACTTTCTCCTAACTACTCAACCGTGTACGAATGTACAATACGTCGTAATAAGTAAAGCTAAACCAGATTCTCTGTCCCTCTCCCTCTCTCTCTTTCTCGAGAGAGAATTAAGAAAGAGGAGAACTTTAAGTACCTGTAAAATCTAAATATACGACGCTGTTGCTCGTTTACGGTTTCGAAAGTCGACGATGAAATTAGATTTAAACGCGTAACTGAATAAGAATCGTGATAAGGATCAAGAATCTTGAAGCAAATTACGTTGGCCGCTGGACGGAACCCGGGCGAACCGCGGTTTGCTCGTTGAAGCGAGACCTTTTCTCTTCTAACCGAACCAAATCGGATCTGCTGCCAAGATCGTGGCACGAAAGATTTACGTATCGAGCCTTCGTCCGGGAAATCTTCATCTCCGCGTTTATTACGTATCGATTGAAAAATTCGAAAAACTACTTCTCGGCCTCGCACGTAACACACCGTACGCATTCTCGAGAAGTTGCTTTCGCGCCAGACTTTGGATCGGAAATAAAACAGCCTTGGACGAACGCTAATTTTGCGATCTAAATTAACGCGCGCACGCCGTGATAAATAACGAGATGTTTCAGTTTCGATGCTCCATTAACGATTTTATCGTATTCGCTTCTTTGGCATCGATGAAATCCGTGGTCTCGATGTTCACCAGTGGAACGGAAAATCTTATCTAGTACTTTCTTTCGCGTCGACCATTGAAACCAACAGAGTCTTCGCTCCACGCTAGATCGGATCCCTTATCGAAATTAACGTGAAAACGCGAACTGCGTTTCCCTTTCCTTCGTTCTGTTTTGAATCGCGACAACCATCGACGAGAGTCGTTTTCGAGTCGCTTCGGTGCCACGCGGTACTCGTCGAGAATCGTGCTTGATGGATTTCGACGTATTCCCGCAAAAGCTCAAAGCAACGCTTTTTACGCTCTCCTCTTTTTCCTTTTTTTTTGTAACTGTGTCACAATACGTTTGTATCGTCTACTTGCCGGAATCGAGCATCGAAAAGTGGGTGAACGCAGCGCGGTATCGCGACGAAAAGAGAAATGCTTTCTCCGGAACCGATTACGTTCGTCCCATCGTCTGGCTCGAATTTCCTTCATTCGATTCGTCACCGATAACGGCGACGACCTGGCTATAATGTTTAATCGGAACTGCAAACACATTTATCGTTATTAATTAACATTTGTACAAGGAAATCGCGGTTCCTGCGGGCTGAGCGTGGCTCGTACAGCTTCCAGTTAATAATTACGCGAATTAAATGTGGAGAAACGAAAATCCGATTCGACGTTAATCAAATTTGTCCGCGATTACTCGCCGTGAGCAATTAATTAGACGTTCGCTATGAAAATTGCAGCATCCCTCCGTCTTTTCGACGATCGTAACGCACCGCGGAAGTTACTTTCTCGCGTTTATCTTGGTTCGTTCGAGCGAATTAAATTCCTGTACGTTCGAAAGTTGAACGAAACGGAACACCATCGAACGAAGCTACGTTTTCCCGTTGGAATCCCTTCCGTTGCGTTGCGCTATCGACTCGCCGGTTTCATAATTGGAAGAAAATTTCGTAACAATCGTCGGGCATGCTCGATACGCGGTACAACGAGAAAAGGTCGAAAGGCCTCTCGTCGGAATTCAATTATACCGGCGCTCGTAAGTTGCGAACTTGGATGGAAACTGTGGATTTTTGCATTTATTCTGTACGAGATTCGCGGATCGTTTCCATTCTACCGAATTGTTTTTCCAGCAGGCCTCGCAAAAACCGCGCAGCAATTTCTCACGGGTTTTTCATCCGATCCTTCGTCATCGCTGGAGAAACGGAAAGAGAGAGAGAGAAAGTATCGTGCCGAGCGAAATCGAGACCGTGACAAATCGTAGAACAGCCGCCATTCGCGATCCTTGGAATGATTTCCGAAATTCACCTCTCGCGGCCGCTGTATCGCAACTTCAAATTGAAATTCATCCCGCGCACTCCCGGGAGTTATTAAAGCTGTCAGAATAAATTCCTAGCAGAATTGGCGATAGAATTTAATAACGACGGCCGGCTATCAGTCGGATGAAACATCGATTCGATTCTCTCCGAGTCATAATGCACGATTCGAAATCCGAACTATCGTCAAAGAAAAGATCCTCTCGTGAGATCTTTAACCTTCCCTTCGGCAGACCGCAGGCGCCAAGGCCGAGCATTCCTTCACCTCGCACGATTTTTGTTGCTTTCTTTCTTTCTTTCTTTCTTTCTTTCTTCCATCCTCCTCCTCCGTGCGATCCCTCGCCGATTTCTTTGCTCCTCGTCCATCCGCTTTATCCGCTGTTCTCTCGTTCGTTTCGTCTCTCGCAACGATGTCCACGAACTCAATTATATTTTTAAGCTAAATTCGTGGATTTTCGCCGTCAGGACTGTACGTTTCGCAGATTTGCGATAAATGTGTCTCTACCTGTCCCGCAAAAAGCTCTGCCAGGTGCGCGGTGCAGCTGCCGCTCGGCTCGGTTCGGCAGAATTAGTATCTTTTTCAACTGGTCTCTAAATCGGAACGAACGGGCCACTGCTTTGGGATTCGTACAACGATCAGTTTATATCTCGCCTAATTAATTAACTGGCTCATAATCAGATTATTCGATAGCGAGAGGATATAATGAAATGGTCATAAAGCCATCGTTTTGCATCGTCGTTAATTACCATGGTGGGTCTCCGCGTTGTTCATTTTCCTCGTTAAATGGAGAAAATAATAATTTTACTCGCTGGTAGAAAAATAATTGAATAATAATCGATGAAACTAGTCAGACGTGAATCCTGATACGCTCGTTCCCAAGATTAAACGTCAACGATTCTTTCGGCGAAGAAACCGCTAATTTCAGGAAACACGGAGGTTTGCGGTTTCTTCTTTTCCTCCGCGGAAGGCTTATTCGTACCGACGAAACTTCTGGCAGAGATGCAACACGCCGCCGTGGAAATGCGTGCACCACACCCCTTTCGAGTGGCGCGCCTCTCCTTTTACAGACGAGACGCGCGTACAGTTGCACAGTTGCACACCAGATATAAACTGTTTTCGAACGGTCCGTTCTCTCCTCGCAACGAAACGGGAGGGGCAAGAATTTTATTACGCGTTCCACGGGGAAAGTTTCTTCCGTAGCGACGCGAATATGGAAAGGATGCGAACCACAGCCGATCGTGAACGTGCTCGTAATAATAACGCCTAGACTTCCCACGGTCCGAAAGAAAATGCGAATCAACGGATCTGTTTGCGTGAACAGCGTGAACCTCTGCTCGCTCGCGTGACGACGAAAGCGTTCCGTCGATTTGCTACGATTCGGAGAAACGTAAAAACGGTTACGGACGTGTCGCGCGATTAATTAATTACTAGCGCCAGGTTTGGTCACGACAGGTTTCCCTCGGGGCCACGGGACGTAAGCGTAACAGTTTCGGATACCGTCGGACAGCGCGGCGAGTAATGATCGATGAATCCCGCGAGCCGCGATCGAGGTGACCGGCAAAGAAATACCTCCTATTTCTGGACTCGTTTCGCTTTCCTTCTACGCTCTCGTTTTCGCTCTCGCGCAGCGTCATTTATCGCTTAACTGGTAACAGAACCGAGCCAGTCCGCAAATTGTCCGCTAAAAGGTCTTTCCAAGCGAACGGAAAAAAGGGACACGAGAGTTCCCTTTTTTTTTTTTTCTTCCCCATTCTTTCTCTCCTCTTTTATCCCGCGAAACTTGGTCGATCCCCGCAGCCGAGTTCTTTCGGTTTCCGTTCTCTCCGGCTTTCAATTCTTCCACGGACCGAAGTCTATCATTTGCTACAGCGACGAGTAATTTCGATTTATCTCTCTCTTTTCCATAGTTCCTCCCCCTCGATCGGATTCCCATATGTTCGGTTTCGTAAAACAGTATTTCACTCGGCGGAAAAACCGTAAACGTAACATTTTCGCGAATTAATTTCGTATTAGCATTTCGCACGAAAATCCCGTGGGCGGAGGTAGCGATGACAATGGATTTCGTCGAATCGATTTACTGTAGAAGCATCGCCGCGTCGCGTACCAATTAATCGATATCCGATGCTGGGTGAAAAAAAGGCGGTTTCGCAAAAGCGCGATTGCAGAACGCGGGGGTAGAAGCGACGAGGCTTGTTGGAGCAGTAGCAGCGGCAGCAGCAGGACCTATCCAGTCAGGGCTATTGTCCGTAAGTGAATGCGCTCTTTGTCCGGCCAGGCACATGCCGCTGCTATTGCCGACGACGACGCGTCGGAGGTAGACCCGATCCAGGTTCGAAGCCTCTCTGTAACCTCGAGGAACGAGACCCTCTCCCGCTGCCACTGGATCGCGTTGCGAACACGTTGTCTAGTGTAATGTAGTAGATGTATAGCCTCGTACCCGTGCCCGGGACGAGTAACAGCTGTCGCTAACCTACCTACCTACCTACCTTCTGCCACAGCATTAAGGGAACCCTCTCGATAACCTCGCGTCAGCTACCACCTGGTTCGTCCTCGTTATATCGTAGTATACCTCCAACGGAGTCCTGCTACTTGTTACTTCATCTATGTATCGTCGAACGAGCTCTTAACCGGCGTCAACTACGATATCTTTCAAGCTCTTCTTACGCGTCGCGGATGATCGTTCTCGCGTATTTGGGATAAAATCGTGACGAGCGTTACGTTTTGGAGCCGATCCAAATCGACCGCGAGTTTACTCGCGTAAACCGTGCACGATGGTTCTTTAGTGCTGCAGCTAGAAAAAGCTGGAAATTATCCAAAACTCATTGGAAGTAGCGGCGTTATTTCCCCGACCGATCGTGCCTCGCGTGGAATCGTAGATCGCGGCCGGCCTGTTTATCGTTGCGAAATTATCTACCGGTTATTGCGAACGTATCCACGCGATTTAGCCCGTCCGGGACATCGATACCGAGGATAAACGATCCAGTGGTGTCCGAGCGACCGCGCCTCGATCAACGTTCACGCGCGTGTTACGTAATATTCGCGAGAGCTCGATGCCCGCTCGAGATCTATTTCAGTTACGGTCAATTGAGAATCGAGCGCGAACCGCGGCTCGCGTATTGATCGGTTAAACAACAGTCCCGCTCGATCGAATATAAATTTCGTGGACCGAGTTCGTCGCGGATCAAGTAGGTGCATGGAACGGTGAAACTTCGCAGCGATACGTTTCCGTTCCTCGGTTGTATACGACGAGAACGACGTGAATCTTCATCGAACCGTTGATTTACGGCACGGCTCTATAATCTCGTGGCGGAACGTGCAACAGCTGCCTCTACTCGGGGTATATCCACAGTGCCTAACGTCGAGCATCAAAAGAGGGTTGTCCGATTTTCGCTTTCCACCGCCGCCATCTGGCACCCAATCGAATCTTCCTGAAAATTCGGTCCTATACGCTTTGAAAATCCGGGTTTAAGAAATTGCATTCACACACTGCGAGGGGAACAGCTTTTATTTAATATTTGGTAGAACAGTGACAAATACAAAAGTTAACGCGTGAAAAATATTCGACGCTTCGGCGCGTAGTAATTGTAAAACTTGGGATCCTCGCGTAGCTTCTTCAATTCCTCCATGGAAGGTGGAGCAGTCTCGTCCTTGCCGATTTTATCAGTTCGCTGTCCTTCGGCGTCTAGCATCGGCTCGTGTCTCATCAATCGGTACCGATTATCCAGGTGAACCGCCGGCTTTATTTCGTGGAACTGCACGAGCTGAAAAACGTTTGCCCGGATTTGATACATTTATAGGAAAATTTCATATGCAATGTAAAATGTATCTATGAAAATACACGAAAGTGCAAAAGTCTAGTGCATTTTGCAATACTTGGAATACGACAGTACGAAGAAATTGCTGTACGTATAAGATGCATTTTTTAAACTGTTACCGGAAACGTTTCATTCTGCAGAAAAAGAGGGTGGGTTACTCGGGGATCGTAAGAGTTTTTTGGTGAAGAAACGTCGGACGTCTCAACTCGAATAGGAGTCGACGTGAAACAGTGACGTTGCTGAAAATCCGCGCCGCCTCGCAATAAGCCGCTTACCCCACGCCACCCCTCTGTAAACCCTCGTCCGACAGGCCTGCCTACCAACTTTGTCGTTGCCATTGTCGATATTAAACCGAGCCCGGTGTTCCTCGCTGGCTCTTCCGCGCCGCGGTTGCCGAATAATCGTCTAGAGTTTCCATCGGAGTCAGCCAAGGCGAGTAACGATCGTCTTTGACGCGATACTCGCTATGCCGATGACCTAACGAAGGGTTCAATCATCCTCCTAGATTCGACGATCATTCCGATGATTCTAACGATTCTAATGACCGAAGATCTCGCGACTACCGCGTAGCACCAATTATAATTACGAGTGTGCGTTCTACGGTCTACCGGGTCTTAATTAATTCCACTCTCATCCTCCTTTACCTGGAACCTAGATTCTCAACAGGCAGACTGACGATTTCCTTCGACGATGCGGAAACCGTGAAAACTCGAAAACCTCCTTCTCTCGTCTCGATCGTCTCGCTAGGTCTGACGCGAGAGCCACGAGTACGCCGTCCTCGCCGCGACAATTCGAAACTCGAAAGCTTGTTAGAGGTTCGAAGAGACGACGCAGACTGCCACGCGAAAATTCTTTTCCGCGGGATTCAAAGAGATCTCGATCGTCGAAGAGCGGTCCCTCTGTCCCTGTTTACCCGCGCAGGTCGTTGTTCGTCGAGGCTTGCGGGCGACGAATAAATTCATCCTCTGCGAGCCGGTTTTTTGACAAATTTAATTAGCGAAAACACGTGCTGGAATTACGACTTAACGCGGAATGTTTAATTCAACGCGAACGCGCGAATCGCAAATCAGACGCTACGCTTGTTTGCTTCGAGTAACGCGTAGAATTTCAATTGGAACCGTTCGTTCTTCGGTGGAGAATGGTGTGGCAAAAATTACTAGCGACTTCGACTGCATCGGGTTTAGAATTCACATGCTGAAAATCAAGCGTTGTTAAAATCATTTTCAGTGCACATGTTCTATTTACGTTATCGTTCTCGCTTTCAAATCGTTTTCAATGATTCCTTCGTTATTCGAAAAAAGGCAGATTCGTTTAAAGTCCACACCGAACCGTCGGAAAAACCGTAATCTAATGAAACGATAACGACGTATCGGCGATCGATCGGACGGTCCGCGCGCCAACACGATTAACCCATGAAAAAAAAGTTGTACGAAAACACTTAGCTAAAAGATCGGGTAGAGAGAGAGAGAGAGAGCGAGAGACGGCGTAGCTCTAAAATCAAATTATCTCGTTAGAAGCCGCAAAGCGGAGGCTCCAAAGAGAAAGGAAACCTTTGGAAACTACCCTTGTAAGCCAAATGCCTGACCCGAATTCACGGGTCTTCCTCGCTCGTCCGCGATGGACTGCTTTCTTTTTTCTATGGTTTCTAAAGCGCGCGATCTCGGAAATCGTCCGAACAGCTGTGCACGCCGCGAATTCGTTCGTAAACAGAGAAGCCTAGTTCAGTCTTGTTACGAATATCGGAGGGAATCGCGTGGAACCCGACGCATCGAAACTATCAAGGTAACGATCATCGCGAGCCGACGATGCGGACACGTGGAAACCGTTCGTCCACGATTCTCCGCGTAGACGAGTGGGAAATTATTCGACTCCGTTGCCAAGATTCGCAGTCAACAAAACTGAAAGCGTTATCCTCCCGGGACGTTTCGTTCGCGTTTCCGTAGACGGTAGACTTACTGTCTGCTCGCAACGGCCGCACTCCGTACGGCGACGAGCGTATTGATCTCGGGGGGTGATTTTTAAGACGAGTTTCCCGACGACCGACACAGATGGCGTCACCTCACGAGGGTGCCGCTTCCTTCTTCGCGAAGAACCACCCTCGCCTCGTCCTCGAAAAACACTATCGACCCGATCGTTTCTGTTATTTTTTTTTGTTAAACATCCTACCGTCGCCAATTATCTTTTACTCCGCCTAGCTCTCCCCGTTCGTCTCGAGGAAACAAGTTCCCGTTGCTCGAGGTAACTCGCGGCGGATCCAGGCATCGCTCGTGGCCGTTGCTTCGAGAGATACGTGTAAGTACCTACACGAAATGCATTTTAACGGCAGCTTGCAACGATTCTATCGACGCGCGGAGACGCAACGAGGAGGGGCGAAGAGATCGATAGCAGAGATGACGAGAGAAATTTCTGTGATATCGGGGACTCGTGGTACACGCGTATCTTCGAAGGAGAGGGGATTCCTCGGATCGAATTAAAATTTACATTTGAAACGGTGAGGCGACGGCGAACAAGGGCTGTCGCGTGACGACGACACTCGACTCGTTTATTTTCTCGCCTCGATTCGACACGACGTTGAAACGGAATCGCGATCAATCGGTTTCGTTTCCTCGTAAATAAAGAAAAAGATATCTGAGATCCGTCGCGACGCGCGCAATGAATAAAGGCGAGGAGTTTGAAGAGGCAGGGAATCTTGGCGAGAGAAACACGCTGATCTGAAACACGGTGGCCGATTATGCCGCGGCACACGGCACACGATACGCCGAGGTTATTGACCAGGAAGACAGGTTCGTTGGGGGCGGCTGGCAGAGGGGAGGTGTCAGTGGTGGTGGCGGTGGTGGTGCCGCTGCCTCGAACCACCGCTGGGGTAGGAACGGAGTTCGCTAGCTGGTCTCTCAAGAGCACAGCCAGTGGGGTGGGTGGGAATCGCGAAACGGAAGGGAAAGGGGGTGTTTTTGTTACAATGCTTCGCTCGCCCCCTTTCGCAGTCCTTTACACGCCGCGTCGCCGCGCCGTGTTTCCATGCACGCGCGTACGGCGTGCAACTTCTCCTTCGAAGGAGGAGCGAGCTTTTACCCTCGCGAGCGAAGGACGACGAGCGGAGGTCGAAGGGCGAGGCGGTCCCGCAGGTGGTTCTCGAACCAACAATTTACCCCGATAGAAAGCCGTTGCGATCGTTATGAAAAATAGTTTTCATTCGAGCGAAGCCGGGAACTTTGGACAACGCGAGAATTCAATACCGATGAATCGAGTCAATTAGCCTTTCGTGGGTTTCGTTATTTCGAGTTGAAAATTCGGAGTATCGGGATTTCGAGCCGCGTCGAACGATGATTGTTCGATTAATTGGCCGTGGCAACGATAGCCTCAATTGATTCGACTAATTACGCAACGCTGCGTGATACCGCGTTCAGTTTCGAATTCCTGTAGCTCTCAGTCGGGTTTATGCGAGACTGTAGCTCGATCGCGAAGCTAGACGATTCGGCATCGAACGGGATTAATCCGTGTGGACCTCGTTTCTTCATTCTTCTGTGTATATTTCGTTTCTCTCGTTACCCGCCGCCACGGCGTAACTACTTAACTAGCGTACACAAGCCGACAGCTTTCAAGAGACATCGCGCGGTTCTCGCGTCTTTCTCCGGGCAGCCCTCGACTACGAAGCAACAGGGTCATCCAGAGGCCCTTCTACTCATTTTCCGCTGGCTTTTTAAGCTTTTTAATTCGCTCGCGTTTATACGATCTCGTCGACGACTCCAGGAAGAGCCTCTTTCATTCGGTTCGAGTCCTCGACGGACTCACCGATCGCCCGATCCGTCGTCGTCGTCACCGAATCCGACGATTCACGAGCTGAAAATCACAGATCATCTCGTTCCATACATACACACATGCATACACGTACACACGTACACGATTATTGCTTGTAGTTCAGATATTGGTTTTAACCTGCGAATCCTTGTTGGTAACTTAGTGCGATAACACAATGTCTGGTAGTACGCCGAAAGATTCGTCGCTTCTACACCTGTATACCTATAATATTCTGTGTATCTATAATAATCTATAAACGTGTACACGTTTAGGTACATATTGTGCGCATACGAATTAGAGCTATCGCTTTTTCGATTTCATTGATATATATTCAGCGTGGCATACGCGCGTATATCGAGTAGTGTTTTTTTAGTATCTTTATCTATTTATATAAATATATGTACAT